GAGTTTGTTTGTTTTTCCGAATAACATATACTATTATAATTAATTATTTTGTGCCTCGTATTAAGCCCACCCCCAGTGGCACAGCGGTATGTCTGCGGACTTACAACGCTAGAATCCGGGTTTCCATACCCGAAGTGGGGAGAGCACAGATAGCTCATTGTGTAGCTTTCTGCTTAACTTCAAACAAACAATCCTTGTATTAATATATTCAGTCGTCATTGATAATACAGAATTTTGATTGGGGAACTTTTCAAAATAACTTAATAAATAAATGTTCAGTGTCATCTTATTTATGTATTCTAAGTCGTAAAAGAAAAATCGTTCAGTATATATTTTCTCTCCATTGCTGGAGAGTGGATGTGGCAAATAATTAGCGTGCTCAATATGTGAACCTTTAGGTTCATGGTTCGCAACTCGTTCCCGCAAAAAACACAACAAAAACACATATCACAATTTGAGTGGGTGCACTTTATGGTTGACAGTCAAATTCCACTGTACGGACAGACAAGAGTACTCCAAGGCCTGGCGGTTAGAATGTTGACTAGCTCTGCCTTCTCTTTAGTCTATCACTTCAAAATCAGTGACAGCTATGCGCAGAAAGCCTTTCTGTAGCTTTGCGCGAGAATTCTGAAACAAACAAACAAAAAATCCTTCACTGGATTTTTTTTTTGCACATAATATAGTTATCTCACGTGTCACGTACGGTTGTTCAGCTTAAAATATAAAAATAACGTCTTTCTATACTCGCTGAGGCATAGCTTTGCATTTAAAAACAACAGCAAAACAACCCGTAGCTAGATAATAGCTGTATAGAAGAAAAAAAATCAAATTGTAGTAGACATTTCTAAATGGTCCTAGTTTTATACAGTGTAATTTGGAGCATCCTGGTGGGGGATTAACCCGCCTTACATACAGAGAATGATATGTTATTTCGAAGCTTTTTCTTCTGATTCTCTGAACTATATCAATAGTAAATTAACGAATATTTTATGGTTTACTAAATACAAAAGTGGTAGGCATTACATCGTTATATAAACTACTCTGGTGGATAAAGTGTTCTCTCCTATCTCTCCAGTTCCCAATTTTACTTCTTTTCCAGAATCTGCTTTATAAATTTGATCTCTGTCCTCATTTCTTTGCATTCATTCACGTATGAATACTTCCTTACAGTACAATAAATTCTTGAGTTGCATTAAAAAAAATCTCCTCTAGAGTTTACAATATCCGCGGAAACTAAAGAATTTAATTATATAATTATTCACATCGTAGCATTACAGGGCATTCTAGAGTTTATAATATCCACGGAAACTAAAGAATTTAATGATATAATTATTCATATCGTAGCATTACAGGGCATGTTATTCAAGTAAGGAATTTATTCTATAAAGATGTACATAACATTTAAAAATTTTCGTAGTTAAACTTGTTGTTGTTGTTTGGCGTTAAGCACAAAGCTACACAATGGGCTATCTGTACTTTGCCCACCACGGGTATCGAAACCTGGTTTCTAGCGTTGTAAGTACGCAGACATACCGCTGTGCCACGGGGGGGGGGTCGTAGTTAAAGATGATTCAACAACTCATAACACTTGTAAAACAATTAGAGTGATATTCAAATTATAAAAATGTTACAATACTCTATATCTATTAATGTCGCCAACTCGTTCACTGTACGTGAACTGGAACACGTATGATGTGGTGTAGGATCCATTCCCCCACCACCCCACTCCCCGAGTTTATAACACTAAAAATCGGGATTTTATACCCATTGTGAGCAGACCAAAGATAGCCCATCGTGTGTGTAGCTTTGTGCTTACCAACAACAACGAAAAACAAAATACGAAAATGCTTTGTAGTGTGAATAAAGTAGAATCGATCGTAATTGAAGTGTGAACCGTATTACTGCAGTAACTCATTGGTTCGCTCAATTTAAACTTGCCTTATCGATATATGATTTATATCAGTATTGAAAGTGGTCATAAGCCATGGTAACAAACGTTTTCTGGTTATCTCTTAAGCTGCAAAGTCTGTAGTAACAAACGAGCACTTACTGACTTGGACTCCTGTAATATACATGTGTATATGAAATCCTTGGAGTGGACACCTGACACTTGCTTTGCACAAAAAACGTAAGTCCACGGATGTCAGTGAATATTTTGATTAGTAGCTTGTCACGGGTAGGGTATAGAAAACTCTAATTATTCATTGATTGCTTAGAGCAGTGTATTCAAACTGCAACAAAACGTAAACATTTCGCTTAAACGCCTCTTACGTGTGAGATGCTATAGCTTC